CTGCTCGCATTCCTGTGCTGGGCACCGAGCTCGCAGCCTGGAAGTCAGCTTGGGGAGCGGGTGTGCCTCTTGGACGGCCCTGGAGAGGAAACCCGGATGAAATTCTTGCCCTACGTGTGGCCGCGTCCTGTTTAAACTTTGTGGAAACCAAAGTTAAATCTTTCTTATTTACTGAGTTTGGAAATCAGTGTCCGGATATGCTCTAGGCGGTTATCGGTCGGGATTTGTGGATTTGTGGCTAAAGAAGGAAGCAGGGGGCCAGATCCCTGTTTCTGCCATGAACTTACCAGGGTGTCCAGATCCCTGTTTCTGCCATGAACTTACTGCATGACCTTGAATAAACAGCACATACTTATATGCATGCCGAAGTTAGAGTGAGTCTGTGTTTTTTCATATGTTCCTAAAATTATGCCCTTGAGTTCACACTTAGGTACACAAATAAGTGGCTAGGCTTTCAAAGGTACAGCTTCTTACTGATGTAAATAGCAGCAAGGAGGTTCTGTTTTGTTAGTTTGTAAAGTGTGCTTAAGTTCCCCACAAGAAAAGAATAAGAGTAATTACCAAGTGTTATTAGTAAAATTACCTAATTATACTAAGAATGTAGTACTGCTAACAAAGCTTTCCCGAGAATTGAATGCCTCATATATATTTATACTGCAGTTTATGCAGTTACTTTATAGGGCAGGTTGGCTCTGTCTGTGCTGCCTAGAAAGATCCTCTATGGCTTCTTTAGAGAAGACTCTTCAGGGAGATGGTACTGTGCAGAAAGAGTTAACTCATTAAGCTTGTGTTTGTCTGGTTTTGCAAGATTCAGTTTATTGAGAAATGTATTTGTGCATTTGAATATACAGTTGAATTCCTCTTCAGAATGTATGGCTAATCTACCTTACTTTCTTTGGCAATGAACGGTGTGTTCTGAACTGGCTCTGTGCAGTCGTTTAAGTACAGGTGTAGCAGGTGCATTGGTTTGGCAACTAGGTTCACAATGTATCCAACTGAAAAATTCGAAGATACAGGTCTCTTAAATACAGTAACATATAGTACGTGGCACATGTCAGAGATTGTGAGCATCTTTGTATTATATTTTTGTTAGACTGGTAACAAGCAGAAGGGAGAAATTTGTTTCACAAATTGGTAAAACTTGTCAGTTATACTGTCAGTACTGTTTTGTATATGTCTTGTATATTTATTAGTCTGAAACCACAAGTTAGTCCAGACCATCTAATACTCGTTAGATGAAAACAGCAGACCATCAGGTTCAGACTCTGAAATATGTGAAGACCTTTTGTTGTAAGCCTGTTCCAAAACACAGCCTTTTTCATCCCCAGTGCTCTACTTTTTTAGGTTTGAGGTTACTTTAATCCTAGTATCCAGGTGCAAACATAAATTTTTAATAGCCAATAACTTTCAGAATGCATTCAGCATATTATTTATGCAGCATGATCTAAAAGACTTATATATGAGGAAAAAGATTAGTTAATTATCACAAAGTGCTGGGCTGTTTTCTTCATCGTAGTCAGCCGATACTGGTTAGGCTCTTACTTCTAAGGCTATAAACAGAAATGGAAAGGCAAATGGTTGACCTAGATTCAAGCAAAATGAGCCAAGTCTCTACATTTGAACACTATGGATTTTCTTAAAAACAACTCTAGAACACTAGGAAGTGTATCAGAAGCTTATAAATACTGAGCATTTACTAACCAGCAATACATAATCTTCTATTTTCAGTCATCTAAAATTAATGAAATGAGTTTCTATATCTGCAAAGCCAACATGTTTTGCCAGTGTTTCAAATTGAAGCTGACTTGGTCAGATGCAAAATATGCTGCAGCATTTTCAGTAATTATCTAATAACTTTAGTTGCCTATCAGGAAAGTACTTGTCCTTTTTCCTATGGAAATAGGAGAGCTTTTAAAGCTCTTTTGATCTGTCAGGATGAAACTTAAGATGTAGTTTATGCAGGAGGACACCTGGCAGTGTAAATTATGGGTTTAGCTCATATGAGTATCTTTGATGAAAACACAACCACATTGCTTGTTAAGAAACCTGCATCTAATAGCATCTTACTGCTCTCCAGCTAATAGCACTGGGGAAAAATTTACAACTGTTCTTGCTACGGACAACAAAAGTCTTTCTCCAGAGTATATCTTTTTCTTTGCTTTTCTTTAACGTGCCATGATGAAGAAGAGCTTTTATTTCTGGATTTCAGGAGGCCCTTTGTTACTATACCAAAAATAGACTTGGATAAGTTGAATGTACTTTGACTAGATCATCAGTTCAGTAATACCATTTTCTGCACAAAAACAATCAGTTGTACAATTTAATCTCTTCTTCTTCCTCCCATATTCAGAATTATATACAATTAAATAGACAAGTGGAAATGCAGCGACATCAGCAAAACAAGTTCTGTCAATTGGTGGTGTTTTCAGTAGGAGCAGTGATACAGGCTCTAACTGATTGCAAGCAGTATCTTGGTTGGTAAAACATGCATGCTAGTGAAGATTCTGTATGTCCAGGATGGAATAGTTTTTTGCCTGAATTGAGGGCTGTTAGAAATATACAATCCCAGATAATACTTGAATCTGAATGTTTTGTCTTTTAAGAAGTGTCTCAAAAACAAATAAAGCAGTAATAGTCTTTCAAGACTCTCAAAGGAACAGGAATTTGACAGATGAAGGTTTTTAGAGTGAGGGGAACCCTGAGAAAAGTTACAAACTCTTTAATTTAAATGGTCATGTTAAAGGTTCTCAAAACCAAGCAATCCAACTGTGATATCAGAAGTCTGAACTTTGCAGGTAAACAGAATAATTTATTTGATTGAAGAGAGTTGAATATTGAAGCAGATATGATCATCATCTTCTTGGATTAAGAAAACTATGAGTTCAGAAGGGTTGGTGGTTTAGGGGTTTGTTGTTTGTTATTTCACTTTTTGTGAGGGGCAGCTCTTTTGTAGCGAGATAATGCTCTTGTGCTTTCAAACTAGTTGTCAAACTAGTTTGTGGAGACTTTGTCCATTGATAGAGCCATGTCGTCTTATCCAGCTCTTATCCTTGGTAGTTTAGGACTGAAGTGCAATCATCATATTCAGAATACTATTAAAATAGTTAATTCCTAAATTCCAGTCTGTGTGCTTTCTTTTTTTTTATTTAATAAATTTTATTAAAGCATTTCTAGTTTGCTTTGGATTTTTGTTTGTTTGTTTGCTTAAGTGTTCTATATTAAGGTTAAAACCTTCTAATTGTTTTATGAAAGGCAGAGCAGGATTTGATTCCCTTCTGAATGAAATGGATGCTAAGGTTTCACAATAAAGAATTATGAAGGAATTGCTGTTATCCATACGTAGTATGTTTAAGCAACAGATAAAAAGCCTTTAATGTGGTCGGTTGGGAAATGTTTTTAAAATACTTCCCATTTTAAAATGGGATGCAACTATTGAGTGTAACAAAACCAAATTATCTAATCTCTGTTTTTAATGCTTTTGCAGCCAGAGTTGGGAAGACCTCACTAATTATGTCTCTTGTCAGTGAAGAATTTCCAGAAGAGGTAGACCATACTTATTTGTTTTCTAAGTTTTATTTCTATCCTGTTGTGTAAAGTTTTTCAAAGAGTTAAGTTAATAGGCTCTGCTTTAAAATAATGTTTCCTATTAAAAAAAAAACTCTGAAACTGCAATGATGACTTCTGGAAGAGTGATACAGGTTAGTTTCAATATATCTCTTTGTGAGGATTAGGAATTTAAATTTTATCAAAGTTCCTTTCTTGTTTTTCACATGGTTAATTAAACTAATTTTTTTTATATCTGAGGAATCTTAGGTTTTTTTAAGCAGTTGAAACTGGTGATAACTGGCAGCATATTTCAACATTAGAGACTCATAAAAGGGAAGGTGCTGAAAGAGGCAAGACCCTACCATTTTTTGGACTGTTGTATTTAAAGAGCAAGTAGATAAAAAATGAATGAGAATGGGGAATTAAAAAGTGACATTGTATACCTTCACCATTTTTTCTGAGACATTGCCTTTTTCTATTTTTGAAGAATGTTTTCTTTAGGCTTTTGAAATAAAAATTGCCAGAAACTCTTACTGCTTTCTTCCAGAATAAAAATAAAGCTACTTCTATATTTTATTCCTTTAAATAAGCAGCACATAGTTCTCTTTATACCGTAAAAAGAACTGCAGCTGCTGCAAATAGTTAAACTTTTTACATATAAACATGAATGTTTATTTCTTCTGATCACAAGTCTTAAAATAGACATCATGTGCTGCTCTTTGAATCCACACTGTGCTGTGTTTAATGCAAATCAGTAGGTTACCACAGTTCATGAGTCAAGATTAGCTTGTTAACATAATTGAATTGAGTTCCCAACCTTGCAGGTAAAAAGGAGCTCCAGTTCCTGTTTGTTATTAAACTGCTCAGGGACCCGTTGCTTTGACAGGCTGTTTGTTGATATATTTCATGAATTGTAGGCCGCTATTCACTTCTCAGCTTCTTTCTGCTGTATAATCTAGAATATTTCTCTAAATTCATGTTGAGAGAAAAAGCATAATTTATGTATGACACAAAATCTGCCTGAAATTATGGAACTTAAAAAAAAAAAAAAATCCTATATAAGCCGAAGAAAGTGACGTGTACAATTCCTGCAGGTCAGTCATGGAGATCGGAGCTATATGGGTGTGTGTGTAACAGTCATTTCAGACTTCAAAATAGTGTTTAATATACTGGGTATTATCAGTAGTTATTCTTGATGAAGATGTAAGTAGAGCCTGAAGCTTTACAAAGAGCCATTCTTCCAGTGATTGGCTTTTCTTTTTTCTTTTTTTATTGAAAGAAAACAAAAGTATCATGAAAGTTCAGTGTTGGCAGGTAAAGGCAATAAATAGCTGTGCAGGAAGTTTTCATTAAAATTAGATTTAAGTTGATTCTTCCTGAATATGCATTCGTGTTCGCTGGAAAAAATGCCCAGCAATCATAGTTTACAGTACTTTGCAGAACACACTTTTTATTAGTATCATGCTTTGCTTTGCAGGCCTTTCTGAACTTAATGTTTAGCACTCTGTCAGAAGCAAGGAGGTTGTCAGGTTATGATTATGTAAAAATTGAGGCTTGTATTTTGTCCGTCATGCATGCTTGCCATATCTTGAGTATTTATTTTTTTTTAACAACTCATGCACTGTTCGCAGGAGTAGTTCTTGTACTGATTTCAGCGGGACTAGGATCAGGGTATCTTGTGCAAAAATTGAAATGTTTAAACATAGGTTATTGACAAATTAAATACTGTTTAATGGCATGCTACCCCTGATGTTACTCTCCTGCTAAAGAATGTAGTGCCTTTTGAAGTAATTGGTTGAATTTGATAACCCTCCGAAATTTAGAACTTTTCTTTATATGACATTTTGTTTAAAGTAAATTGCAATTCAGGTTTTGTTTATAGTTTTCACTATTATAATAGTTCTTTATAGATGTTGGCTGTAGTGGATTTCAGCTTTATAGAAGCATTCATTGAATCCCTTAACAACATTGCTTTCTTGCAAAGCATGCAGGAAGTTCCTTATTCAGTAAGTAGACTAATAAAGAGTAAGAAAGTCGCAGTGACTTTCAGTACACTGCAAAAAAAACCCCAAAAGTACTTGAACCACTAATAAGCTGTTCTATTTAAAGCTGACTGATTGATAGGTGTTTTATAGTATATGACTTTTTTTGACCATCTGGATTTTCTGGATTATGTTTAAAGGCTTTTTCTTGCTGTTTCTTTACAACCCAGGTTCCACCACGAGCTGAAGAAATCACCATTCCAGCTGATGTCACCCCTGAAAGAGTGCCAACCCACATAGTGGATTATTCAGGTGAGGACTACACAATACTGTTACTGTTTGACTGACTTGGTATGGAATTATTTATCTAACTCAATAGCCTCTTTAACAGTCATACTGCTATGGCACCAAAGCTACATGTAGGAGAAGACTAAAGTAGAAACTTAGGGGTTAAAACTAAATCAGATGATTGATGGGTGATTCTACTAATTCAAAGCCTAACATTAACTGCTGTTGGTTCTTCCATGAAAGACAGTTGTAGCAATATTCCAGTGAAGGTAGTGTTCTTTGTGTGACAGACATATTTACGGGTTCAGACAAAGGTGGGTACTTTCATGGAATTCAAAACTATTTTCCTTTCTTTCAGTGAATACTTTACTAGGATGCAGGAGACTTCACACACCTTATTCTATGTCTTTCTAAATTTCTAAGTTTGGACACCTTATCCTTTGTGTCAATTTCATATTTTGGTTTGGGGGGGTATATAATCTAATCTCCTTGACCTTACTGAATAGATAAATAGACTCGGTATCAAGGTTCGTATGCGGTCATAAATACATGCAACTGTTGCACAGCTAAAAGAACCCTTCTGCCATTTATAATGGCAGCCGAGAATTAGGCCATGTTAGCAGATACCTTCCTGTCTTCTCTCTCCCATGCTGCTGAGGAGATACCTTTGGTGTGTTTGCCTATTTGGAACAAAGAAATAATGTGTATTTTTTTCATTGGACTTGAGCTTAAATTTATGTGGAGTGAGTTTTTCTTTGTATTGGATTAAATATTTCATAGATTTGGTTAACAGAAGCTTGGTTTCACTAAAAAAAAATCATTGACACGGCAATAAAATTAACATATGCCGTATTCTGTTGTAAAAGTTTGCATTATAGAACAATGTTGCTACTTACTATCCCAGGAAGGGGCTGTTGATAAATGTAGGGACGTGCAAACTATGACTCATTCCAGAGAGAACTTGTCTGCAAATGTAATATTCCTCTTCAAAATAGCTGCTAAAAAACTTGAGTGCAACCGACTTTTTAACTCGCAAGTTAATGGATCAATTTCATTATTGTTACAGCAGAAGCACTCTTTAATGCATTTTATAAAAAGACGTTTAAATAACAAGAGCTTTCAGAGGGCTGTCCTATGAACACTGTGAAATACCCTGGTCCAGTTTCTTAAGGTTTTTCAGTTTTGTTTGCAAAAATGTTCAGTATTAATGAATGGCTTATTCTATTGAATGCAGAAGCAGAGCAAAGTGATGAGCAGCTTTACCATGAAATATCACAGGTAAGTGTATTTTAGTTTTTACTAGAAAATAGTTTCTGCTTTTGGAGAAATCTTTCCTGTTCAGTTCTCTGCATTAGATGGGCTTCAGTTTGAATTGAAGAAAAAAAACCCCAACCTTGCTTTTTCTTGCTTGACATTTCATTTCATTTTTTGTGCCTTGTGCTACAGTATACCTTCTGCTGTTTAAGAAAAGTAGGTACTCCCACCGTGCTGGTGAATTGAGCTTAAGCTTTGGCCTTCCAAGTGAAAGGACAGAACTTAAATATCAGTAGGCCAACAGATTGACAGTTTTTGTAAAGAAATAATCCTAACCTGGAAAGATCCGTTTTACTTCTTTCTGTCATGTTGTACTATTGCGTTTACAAATATCATAGGATTCTTGGTAATTTTATAATTCCTTCTGTTTCCTATTTTCAGTTCTTTCTGAGCACCTTTGTACATTTTCTGTACAGTCTATCATGGTGTTGTGTTCCATTTCTGGCATTTAGTTTGGTACTTGAGAGGAGGCTGCGAATTATGATTTTTCAGTTTAGATTTCTTGGTAGCATAGGTCTCTGCAGGCATAAGCTGTGAATGTCACACTGCAAGACAGGCTTTTTGGCACTTCTCAACATACAAATTATTTGGTTTAAGCTGTTGTTCAGGCTACAAATAGCTTAAACAAGTCAGGGACACAGTTTTTGACTAATGATGGAACTGTTCATACTCTGATGTTGTTATGTATGGTTCTTAATTGTCTCTGTTGCTCTAGAGACTCTTAAGCAGTGGAATTCCATGGCTTTCCTTTCCTTTCATTTTAGGCAAATGTGATTTGTATAGTATACGCTGTTAACAACAAGAATTCTATTGATAAGGTATGGTAACACACTTTATCCGATTATTGCTTGAGAAGTAACTTGTGTGCTGTTAACTGTTGGCAAGCTGAAAACTGTGCATAAGATGGTGTTTGAGATCAAGTTGTTACAAGGGTGTGCAGATGTATTATTGTGTCTGGTCTGTTTCAACTTCTGAGTTTTCAGTCATGTCAAGTCATCTGACAAAGTTGCTCATTAATCAACTCCAGTTTTTATTTGTTTCATTCTTTGTGGGTAAATATATGCCTTCTTGGGAAAGAAGGAGTAGCAGCTGTAGTTGAACTTGTGCACAGTTCAGTCAAATTTGAAAATGTATTTTTCATGTTTGTTTTTAATCCTACTCTAGGTAACAAGTCGATGGATTCCTCTCATCAATGAAAGGACAGACAAAGATAGCAGGTGCATAAGTAAAGATGAGAAGTGTGAATTAGGCTGCACATCGATGTGTGTCAATGGACAGTGTTGAGGATGTTAATTGTTTTAAGAAAATCAAATTCTAAACTTAAAATTTGTATGAGAAGTCCAAGCAACAAGAGATTTAAAGTATGTAGGTCTGTTATATATGCCAGCAATGCTATTTGTTTTTAATTTCATGGTCAGCTTTTACCAGGTGTGTGTGTTATGGTATAACTGGTTTTGGCTACATGGTCTGTATAGGTTTTCTACTGATGCTGGTTTTGTACAATAATATGCTTAGTTACTTTTATGTTTAACTGTTTTTTGTACTATCAACAAGATGTACCTTTCTGGTTAAGTGTATATCAAAACAATTTACTTAACTGCAATTGTTTTGTTTTGCCTGTTGGCTGCCCGTAATATTTAATTATATCATGAAAATAATACAATGACTTCTGATGGGAGGCAGAATGCCAAATTAGGGTAGATCTTGTTATCTCTTTGTCTTTAAAACTCTTAACCTTTTTTTTTGTTTTCAGGTTGCCTCTTATATTAGTTGGAAACAAGTCTGATCTAGTGGAATATAGCAGTATGGAAACTATCCTTCCCATTATGAATCAATATACAGAGATAGAAACATGTGTAGAGGTATGCAAGACTTTCTGAAGTTAGAATGGGTAACAAGAAATACACGCCTGCCATGCATGTATGGCAACTTTTTAATAGAAAAAGTGGTTTATTTTGATTTGTTCAAAATAAAATATTCAAGTGTAAGTTATTATCATGGTGAGTTTATATGTTATTTTTCTTTAGAGAAGATTACACTATTGTATAATCAACTGTTACTGTCAAATTCTCCTAATATTTAGAGCCTCCTCACATCCTTGCCTTTAGCATGTGTTTTAAATATAATATTAAGCCAGACAGATGTCTGCACAGTATAAAAAATAGAATTAATATGTGTGGCTATACCCCTCTGTCTTTTTTTTATTTTTAAATTTTTTCAAAATAGATGAAACTTTGATTACTCTTCTTGGTATGACAGCAAATTGTAGTGAGACCTCCTTTATTAATTACTGAACAGGTACAGGGGCCGATGTCTTTTTTCCAACACAGCACCATACCCACAAGAGGGGGCTAGATCTTTAAAAGTTTTATGCTTGCTTAAATTTCAGAAGAAATCACCAAATAGTCAAGAAACTAGCTAATCAATACAAGGATTTCTCTTTCAGTGTTCAGCCAAAAACTTGAAGAATATATCTGAGCTATTTTATTATGCACAGAAAGCTGTTCTACATCCTACAGGTCCTCTTTATTGCCCAGAGGAGAAAGAGGTATTTATACATAGATTCTAAGAACAAATAATGTAGCAGGGGGAGTTACCACTTTCCTTTTCTTTCCTTTTCAGTGGATTTTGCATTTCTTAATGTGTTCTGTTACCACCACCCTACCCCAAATGCTAAGCATTATATTCCAGAACCATGGTGATTGTTTTTTGTTGTATTAATCTGATCCGATCTGTCCTTCCTCTTCATTCAAAGCAACGAAGACAGTTTTTTGTTGCCTGTGTGAACTAAGTGAAATGAGAAGCTTTGGTAATGGCTTTAAGCCAAATGTAATGTGAACAAAATCATGTGTTCAATTCAGTTCTACTTTAGATAAACATTTCACAGTAACTCCATTTATTTCAGGGAAAATACTCCAGACTTGGCCTGATTTAAGGGAATGAACTTTTCTGAGCATCTTGTGAGACTTTGGCAAAAGGGATAAGAAACAAGTGATGTGGCTGGTGTTTAAGTACCACAGGTAGTTAGCTGAGCATATTATGGAGTAGTATGTTTTTTAAAAAACATTAATTTCATGGGCAAATACAAATAGAATCTCTAAATGTAACCCCTGTGTAGTATTGGGCAGTAGGAACGTTGCTTCAGTCATAAATACTTCTGTCAAGTAGAGAACCAGAGAATAACCCTGTTTTGATTTCTTCCATCAGAATCATCTTTATGAGTTAGTAATGTTGTGATAATATTGTTGTGCTGAAATCTTTTTGGTTTTCCAAAACCAATCTCTATGCAATCTGTGTGACCTCTATGAAGAGAAGAGTCCATCATCACTGTAGTTGTTGGGAGAGAATTACCAGTGTCTGTTTTCCTTCACTCGGAAGGTATCCTAGCAATTCTTTTGTCATAGAGATAGTCCATATGATCAATGCTTTGCCTGGTAGATGAATGAGCCCTGTGAAGATTTTCAGTATCTGATGTTTGAAGCCATAGTTGAAACAGTGAATAGAGATAGTGTGCTTGTTTAGAAAGATTTTACTGTAGTTCTAGAGCTGTTTATTTTTGGAAGGTGCTGGGATTGCAAATCCTTCCCCCCCCCCGACCCCCCCCAATGTTTTTTGAGAAAAAATATCATTCAGTTGTTTATCTTTTTTTTTTTTAACTTTCTGTAGCAATAAGACTGAATTTTGAGAACTGATTTTTTTTTTTTTTTAATAACTAGGTAGTGCCATCTTCAGCTTTTGAAAAGCTTGAGGCTCTTCTAATAGTTGAATAGAAAGACATTTAATGTGGAATAATTGTTTTAAATTTATGGGTATAAATTTGCTAGATCAGCATTTTGTTTCCTTTTAGTTTTTGTGTATGTGTGTGTGAATGTCTCCATTCTAAAAATATAAAATGAAGTCTAGTATTTGTTTTAATGTGATGTCATTCAGTGTAATCTTTTTATATTCAAGCCTAGGAAGATACTGAACTTTCCTTTATTCCTCAGATGAAACCTGCCTGTATTAAAGCACTGACTCGTATTTTTAGAATTTCTGATCAGGATAATGATGGTACTCTCAATGATGCAGAGCTCAACTTCTTTCAGGTAGCTCTTTTGCTTACCTTTTCACTATGCTTAGTAGTTGACCTATATAATTCTAGAAAACGAGTGATTGTTTTTGAAGGAATAGTAGTAAGGTAAATTGAAGGGAATCAGGTCTAAATATTAAAATTCTCAAGTGCAGCATGAAAGAGTGGATCTGTAAAAATGGAAATAGTATTAGTTTTATTTCTAAACATCGTTCAAGTTTTAGTTCAAGAGCAAAATAAGAAAAATCTATTAAATGTGCAAGCCACAATGTTTGTACTTTAAAATAAAATTTGTACACCTTTATTTCCACTAAGAAAATGGGTTGTCCTTTGCTAGCTTATCAGAATGTTTAAGGCTGTATTTCATACCGGACATGCTGTTTGTCCAGCTTAGTAGCCAGTGGTCCTAACATGTGCTTTTTGGGTTTTTTTGTTTATTAGAGAATTTGTTTTAATACACCACTGGCACCTCAAGCTTTGGAAGATGTAAAGAATGTAGTCAGGAAAAACCTAAGTGATGGAGTTGCAGATAATGGGTTAACATTAAAAGGTAAGCTTTATTTAACTCTTAAAAGATGTGTCTTTATACAGTTGGTAATCATTCTTACATAAAAAGGCTAGTCTTTTGGAATATGATCTCTATCTTGAGATCATATTTCTCTTTTAGACTACCAAGAGCTGGGTGTAGTGGCAGTGTGATGTCAAAGGATGATTAAACTGGGGAATAACGGGGTGAATAAAATAAGGTCTTTCTTATTTCTTACAGAGCTTGGAATCCAAATAAGTATACTGATTCAAAAGATATTGTCTCCTAGATAAATCTGTATCTTGTCTCTAGGCTCACTGGCTGCAACACTTGTCAGCAAGGTGTGGTGTCTGTCAACATCTTAACAGCTCTGTTGTACAGATTTGCTGAGAGCATATGGCAAAGGTGAAAGGAGGAAAAACATTTTCTTTCTGAGCATCGATGTAACTGCATTGCTTGTGGAGCTTACATACGTAATAGGACTTGTGATAAATTGTAAAGAGTGGGAATCTTGAGGCATAGCCTTACTAACCAGTGAAATCTCAGTGTTCATTAAGCCCTGGAAAGTGCTAAACAAAAACGCTACACACTTATCTGGTACAGGGAAACTGAAGGCAGCCTTCCATGAGACTACTCTCCAGGCTTCTTGCTAAGGCTTACTATTCTAAGTTGTTGAAAATATTGTTGTTTTTATTTTCATACAGCCAAGTTCTAAAATGCTAGTACTGAAAGAGGCAAAAACCAACAGAAAACCAAGCTGTTTTAAGGAAACAGTTCTTTGAAGGACACTTTTACACACAGCATGACTTCTGAACCTTTGGACTGTGTAGATAATGCTGTAATGTCACCCAAGAGGTTTAAAATCTGAATGTGTATTTCAAGATTTTTTGTTTTCAATCTGATACTGATTCTATTAAAAATACTTGTAGCAAGGCTTTAAGTGTTCATAATTTGATTTTTAGGTTTTCTTTTTCTACACACACTTTTCATTCAGCGAGGAAGGCATGAAACAACTTGGACTGTTTTACGTCGCTTTGGATATGATGATGACTTAGAGCTTACGCCAGAGTACTTGTTTCCTCCGTATGTATCACTTATTCTAGCTTTCTTTAACTTACATGCTGCCTCCTGCTTTGGCAGGAGAAAAAGGTTATTTTAGTGTCTTTATTTCACACATTATTACATCAAGTGTCTCCCTTAATTGTGACTTACTAGCCAAAATCCTCATGTGACTGAAAATTACAAAGAACTATCTGTTGTGCCAAATCATGTACTACTCCCTCTCTTTATAAGAAAGATGGCAAAATAGACTCTTAATACAAAACTGGAACATGAAGCTGAGCAATTGCTTATTGTATGTGGCAACAAGTTAAAAAAGGCTTTTCAGTATTTCATAGCACCTAAGATCCTTTGAAAATCCCCAGATTAAAAAGTTAAGAGATCGACAAACTGTGGCTTCTTTTAAAAAATGTTACTATGTAATTATCCATTTAAAAAACCCGCAAAAAGCAAACAAACCAAACAAGAGCCTGATTAATGTATATCTATATATCATGTAATGTAAAGGCACTCACTCATAATTTTAAAATTCCTAACAAGAATTACGTACTTTGATCTCTTTAAAGATAAATTATTAAAGCTAAATACAAAGGTCAAATACCAAATGTTGTAATTCAAAAAGTCTGTATTTTGAGTTTTAATATTCTGTATTTCATAAACACACTTAACACTCCTTGTATTTGTTTTTGTTTTCAATAAACAGGCTAAAAATTCCTCCAGACTGCACAACAGAATTAAATCATCATGCATACTTATTTCTTCAAAGTATTTTTGATAAACATGATTTGGTAAGCTTTGAATTTCAGTGTGTGTGTGTGCCTATACTTAAGATCCTTAGTTTGCTAGTAATTTTGCAAGCAAAAAGTGTGGTTTTTGTCATTATGTAATTTCATTCAGAAACTGGCTCTGGTGTAAGCGATGCAGTCAAAACTAGCCTGCTGTTTGTATTTCTGTCTACAAGGAGAGTTGGCAGTTATAGCTCTACTACCAAATATTTTTTTAACTAGCTTATCTATTTAGTCTTATTTAAAAACAAGAAAAGAATAATGATTAAAAAGAAAGCAGCTCAGTTTCCTGTAGCCATTTTTCTGAATCTTGCAAGCATACAGCAAGAAAATACCGGTTTAGAATAGACATTAATTAAGTGATTTATGTCTGATACCGTATGCTTGTTTCCAGGATAGAGATTGTGCTTTGTCTCCTGATGAATTGAAAGATTTGTTCAAAGTCTTCCCTTACATGCCGTGGGGACCTGATGTTAACAACACTGTTTGTACAAATGAAAGGGGGTGGATTACGTACCAAGGGTTTCTTTCTCAGTGGACGTAAGTGTGATACATTACATTTTAGTAGTTGAGAATATTTATAGACTATAGTTTGGATGTGATGATGTGTTTGTAAATTCCTGTTAAAAATGTAGAAAGAGTGGAAGTTTAGTAGTTGAAAATTGACCCAAGCAGTCAAGCTTTTATAGCCACCCAGTGGCCTAATCTTCAGACAGTTTTTATAACCTGTTCAGGATTTGGCCAGTATTTAGTGCTAACTATGAACAAGTGTCTCTTCAAAATGTGGAAATCTCCCTGAATCTTGTTGAAATACTTATTTCTGTTGTTCTACTCTTTAGAAACAGTATGAATAATGATGTTCAATAATGAGGTTTTTTTCCTGCTGAAAAATATGAAAAATGAGGAAAACATTATTTGCTGAGGGGGTAAAAAAAAATAAATGTAGGTTGATAGGCCTTGACAAGCACTGCCTTCATAGTATTTGGCTGATTATTAAGACTGGTAAAGTTGCCACCATTTACCTTCAGAGTGCTTTTGTCTTTCAGTACTACAGAGTGCCAGGAATACTTCTGTCATGTCAGTCTGGAGACAGGAGGAAAAAGTTGTTTCAGTACTGTAAAGAATCGGTACCACAGATGCCAATAACTCAGAAACTTCTTTTTGTCCCTTCTGATAGACTAACCACATACTTAGATGTACAGCGTTGTCTGGAGTACCTGGGTTATTTAGCCTACTCGATACTTGCAGAACAAGAATCTCAAGCATCAGCAATTACAGGTAATCTGAAAAAAAAAAAAAAGATACAACTTAGGAATTTAAATTTAGAAATCTGCTCAAAAGTATATTGTTTAAACAGATGGTCTGTCTTTTTTCACTTAAATTCTTACATTCTTTTTTACTTTCTGCTCAAGTCAAACCTTTGATTTAATATTTTTGATTGTTTAGTGTTCATTTTAATGTAAGTGGACATTTGTTTCATGTTTTCACATACCTACGTGTGTGTACATCTTGTGAAAAATATTTGTCTTTTTTCAAAAGTAACAAGAGATAAAAAGATAGACCTCCAGAAAAAACAGACTCAGAGGAATGTTTTCCGATGCAATGTTGTTGGAATGAAAGGCTGTGGGAAAACTGGAGTTCTTCAGGCTCTTCTTGGAAGAAATCTAATGGTAAGAAACCTTTTGCTTATATTCACCTATATATGCTTTTGAGTTAAGGTTAAACAGGAAAACCAATTGATCTTGGAGCTTTACTGGTTATTACTGAGTTTGGAGAGTACTTTGAGGGGAATATAGAATTACTAGGGAGGGCTGCTTTTTTTTTTTTTTTTTAAGCAAATAGACAAATGGCTATTGCATGCAATAATTATTTGTACATCATGGTTTATAGCTATGCATTTACTTGCAAAATAAACCACAGATTACTGTAATTTCCATTTATTAATAAGTGGAGTAAAACAGCTGTTCAAATCTAACTTAAAAGGGGCAAGTTGCTGTGGTCTAACATGAAATTCTGCATTTTCAGAGACAGAGGCAAATACGTGCAGAACACAAATCTTACTATGCCATTAATACAGTCTATGTATATGGACAGGAAAAATACTTGCTGGTAAGGCTGCCTCATTATTGTTTGCATATGACTGATTAGTCTTAAAATTCAGTGAAGTATTCAGAGCCTTCTGCAAACAAGTTTCTAATTTTCTCTTAATAAATATGGATTCCTCCCACTCCTTTTCCTGCTCAAATAACTTCTGGTTTTAGATGTCGCTAATACTTTAAACTGAACCTGTTCAGGACCTGTTATTTTTGAAACCTTGACCTAAATTGTACAGAACCCAGTCCATTATGTTTCTGCTGCAGGGCCTCAAATTACAAAATAAATTATCAGCAAGCAATCTACGTATTCAATAAAGAAGAATCTGTTATGTAAGGTGATTAGGATGGCTAAAGTTAATCTTCAGTGGGTGAAATACTTTCTTTAAAGCTCCTTCCACTGTAGTTTTCCTTTATGATAATATGGTATCTTTCTTTGTTTTCCAAGATCTAGTCCTCTGCTCTGTGGTTTTGCTCTGTAGGATGAATGCCCGTTTCTATGGGAATCTTCAGACTTTGTGTTAAAGTGAATGTAACTTTTTATATACAGAGGTTGTGATTGCTGCAGATATGATATCAACAGCTCGCATATGTCGGCTGTATGGTAAATTCCTACTATTTATTTTTCATTAATTCTGGCTATTGTCAGTCCATTAGTTCTAAGGGTACATAAAAATGGGCCATAAAAATGATGAGAAAAAGAAGGTTATACAGTTCCTTTAACTGCATAATGACAAAGCTTTTCTCACTCTATGACCATCTCCCTTTTTCCACCCCCCCCCCAGCTACATGATGTCAGTGACTCTGAATTTTTAACTGACACTGAGACCATATGTGATGCTGTCTGCCTGGTATATGATGTCAGTAACCCTAAGTCTTTTGAGTACTGTGCCAGGATTTTTAAGGTTTGTATAGTTTATGTATATCAACCTTTACATTTATATATCTTTTCACTGACAAAATATTCAGTGTCAGTTACTGGTCCTATACACAAGTTCTAGTGTTTAAAAGACATTTTACTTATGAGTGCTGGTTATATATGGCTGATGCATTAAACATGCAGTTTTATTGTACATACAAAGCTAACATCTACTTGTCTATATCAAATATTCTGCTTCTAGAAATGCTTAACTTCAGTGCATATATATCTTAATATAGAATATATCTTAATGCTGCTGCAAATAGTTCAACTCAGGCTGTTCCAGGTTGAATGTATCATATACTGTTTTTTTGACTTTTTTTTTCTTTAAATTTGCAGCAGCACTTCATGGATAGCAGAATACCGTGCTTAGTGGTAGCTGCAAAGTCTGACTTGCATGAAGTGAGACAGGAATATAGTATTTTGAATTCTGCAAAAAACACAAAATGCCTCCACCTCAAGCCTTTACTTGTAATACAGTTGATGTGCCGAGTAAGGATATCTTTGTTAAACTGACAACTATGGCAATGTATCCGTAAGTACTTGAACCATTACATTTTTCATATTGCATCGGTCACGTGCAATACCACTGCATGTCATTGTTAGCCACAAGGATGGAACTGCCTCACTGAGATTTAGCAACAGAGAGACATAAGTGACTTGAGTAGCATCTTCAAATCATTTCAAATTGAGAAAGTTCATACGTATCCAACATATAAATCAGTGTCAGCTATTGTTGCTAAGGTGTTTTTTAAAGAATATACTACGCCATCCATTTCCTGTTGCAAATTCCAATGAATATTTAGGGTTCTGTTCTGTCCTTACTGCGGATGCATAACTCAATATGTCAATATTAATATCTTGGTATTTTTTAGATACTTGTGAATAAGTTGTGCTGTAATTCTTGCTACTAGCTCAACTTGACAGTTGAGAACAAGTAATGGCACTCTTCAGGGAACAACGGTCCCCCCAATGCACTTCTTGAAGCCTTTTTTATTTGTAGTGTCTTTATTACTATGTGTTTCAGTTCATTAATCTAATAGATCTTACATTTTTAACAAAATTTCTGTATAAACACAGAAGCCAACTTTTGTGCTTCAGATGGTACTTAAGCTCACATTCTTCTTCACTACACATCTCACTGTTGCTAAGCTCACTTTGCATCTCTTCTTTTGGTGGGTGGAGCTTTTAATATGGTGTTGAACTACATAAATATTACAGCAGATGGAGTCTAGTATGACAGCTGACATTTGCTTTAAATTAAATAGAACTAATGTCACTTTCACCCAAAAGAATAGAATTTTTAAAAATTATTTGAAACGGTATTTATTGAATTAGATTTATAAGGCTTTTGGTTTTGTTCTCTTGTATTTATTTTGTAGCACTGGAATACTGGGAAACCACTAAAGTGTAGCACTGACCAAATGTCTTGTCATATCAATATTCCTGCTTCTCCCTTTAGTTTTCAAGCATGCGTGTGTGTTAGGGTGGGAAAAGTAGAGGTAACTGTCACTTTGTAAAGTGTGCATTCAGAGTGGTAGAAAATGTGGCTTACTTGCCTTTGAAAAAGGGGTGTTACCTATTGCTGTGCAGATGTACTCAGAAGCCTTTAGATGCTTTCCTTACAAACTGAAATAAATTCAGCAAACGTTTCCATTCCTGTTTGTGCTTTGCTATTAAGATCTGTGTATGATGGTAATGCCAAAATGTCCAAGACATAGAACACCTAACCTTAAAATTCTGCACAGCTGTAGTTGTACCCTTGCTTCCCCAGTGTATTTTTTTTCTCCTCCTCTCCTTACTCATTCAAATGTACCTTTTATTCCTAAATCTCTCTTGGTTGTGGCACAGTCCTAATGTGCACCTGATATTATGAGCAAGATTTCAACTCCTGTCCTTCTGTGTGTTTTTGCAGCCATGCCCGGTTACGCTGTATGTGCGCCTGCAACAGGTGTACATTTTGCATCTGTCAGAACTTCCTCAACTCAGACTTGCTGCAATCTGTAAAGAACAAACTCTTCACTGCAGTTCTTAACAGGTCCTTAACTTTATTTACTAGGTACCAGGTGTGCTTTTAAAAGAAAAGTTTTTTTGAAAAAGCAATTGGTAACCTTATATACTGCAGATTTTTCACTCCATATCCACGAAATAGGCAGATACTTACTTTAATAATTGTCATAGAATTGTCAAACTTTGTTTAACTCGAAGGTACTTTTGGTCTTTTGAGCTTCGTCTAGTGATTTCTTTGAAACATTACCAGTTTGGTAGTTGATTCAGACACTTAGTGATTGCAAAGATACTGTGGAGGAATTAGGACTGTGTTTTTAGGGAACTGGTAATGGACATTAAGTAGTGTCTCTAAATCTGTGTAATGTGTCTCACTTGAGACATTATAGGTTTGTTTAGTATTGATTAGAGGTAGTGTCTCTTAGATATCAGTTATACAAATATTTTCATAAAGGCACAGCTTGACTTAAAGCAGCATCATATAACATACTATATGTTTATAATTGCTAGTTTGATATTTGGGAATTCATGGAATTTCTCTATGTGTGTGTGTTAATGCTTGGTTTACACAAAGAGTGGGTACTTCGTGTAAAAAATCTAGAGCTTTTAACATCCAGTTCCTCTCTGAATAGAATGCAACATGTAAGAAGTGGTAAATGGCTAAATATTTGCATTTACAGATACTTTGGGGAAAAAAAATTGGTAAAGAAAGAGAGAACTGGTTTTCAGCATTGAAAACAGTGCTATACCTTGTCTTGTGTGTACTGCACACAGTTTTTGACACACATGACTTACTAACACCTCAGCACTTGTCACTGCACCCAGGCAAATGGGAGTTCAAACCAAACAATTTTTGTAGCGCAGTTGTTCTGTAGTTTACAGCCTTCCTGGAGGCTTATGTGATAAATGTGATTCTTGGAGGCATCTGTGATAAACATGTTTATTTGAAGGCCATGGTTAGAATATCCTGACATGATGCAGGCCCTTGTATGTTGCTGCTCCTTGCTGTTTTCAGATGTGGATGCTCCAAATACGAGTGGCTGTCTCCTTTAAATGCAAGTTACACGTACACAGGAGGCCTACTGATATACTCACCTACAGTATCAAGCATCTTTGTGAAATACCGCTTTAGTCCAAGTCAAAAGTGTTAGCCACAGAGTAAGAATTCAGAGAAGGGTGGAAAACTCATTAGCTTAGGAAAAGACTGTTAATATGAGTGAGACTGTTCATGCTGCTTCTTTTCTACAGCAGTCATTCCTTAGACAAAAATAGCTTCAAACATCAATCTCTTTGCATATTGTCACTCTACAACTTAATTCAGCAATCACTACTAGAAAATCCCAGGTCTTCATTATTGAGGCTGGAACCACCTCTATAATGCATCCTCATTTTTCTGGAATGGTTATGGGTTGCTGCATTAGCTGTCGTGGCTTGTTCCTCGTTTCTCTCTTTTATGGGTGTGTGGGTTTTTTTAGTCCTGCATTAGACTTTGCACTTCATTTCTCTGAAATACTGTCAAGGCCTTGAGGTATTGAAATCTTTTTATGAGAAGTCTTGGGATGCTGTCATTCCACACCTTGTCACTAGATAGTGTGGAATAGACATAGGAATCTACTATTGCCTAAAAAAGTCTGTAAGTCAAGGTAAAGAGAATTCCTCATAGACTTTTCCACTGACCCTACAGAAAGGAAGGATTATTTGCTAGAATCTCTTTGTCTGTAGTCATTCAGTTAGTCGCTAGGGTTTTGTTGCAGTTTTCCAGCATGTCACTTCGTCTCACCAACTCTGTAGTTAGCTCTTCAAGAGTGTTTCCTTACAGAACACATTACTGCAGGTTATTCACCATTCAGTACATGGGCTGCTGTATATGTGCATATATAGTAGAGCTGAGATGTCTATAAACAAGAGGGAGTAGCGCTAATAGTAGACTTAGGAGGGTAGAGATGGTTTATCTTGTTTAAAAATGTTAGCTCCTTGGATGCATTTTTAATCTAATGATTTGTGATTAGAGAAAGCGTTTGAATAAAGGAGGATTTTTCTGATGCAGTTATTTTATACAATTTTTCTTATTTTACTTTTAGAAGTGCTTACCATCAGGTCAGATAGTTAGGCAAAAGCTAAATAACTGATGGGTAAAGGAAGTTTCTCAAGAGTACTTATTCTCCTGACACCTTCCTATTCTGAAGCTTTAGACTGTGGAAGTAGGTAAACTGAAATTTTTCAGAATGGGCCCCTTCCGTTATTATTTTTTGCTAAGTAATGCTTAAACACTGTTACCAAGGCAAAATATAATATCACATTTCAGTATTCCCAACTTAGTAATTAAAGGAAGAACATTGCTTCCATGCAACTGAAAATCCTATTCGTGCCCATCTTCAGCGTCTGTTCTATGGGCAAACTTCAGAACCTCACCCGAGGGTTTGTAGGCTATCAGAAAGGCAAGTTCAACAAATGTGGAAGTTCTGTCTGGAGATGTTTATTGTGCAGCAACAGGATTGTTGGTTTGAACTACCCAGGATCACACTCTATTGGTTCTTTGAGGAAGAAGGCACTGCATTCAAAGCACTATACATGCATGTATGAGACTTGTTACTACGCTGTAGTATTTTTATATTTTTTAACTTGTTCTTTCCTTTAGGTGTTCATTTGTATTTGGCTGGCTGGCACTTAATCTCTTTTTACTACATTGTTTTTCCTCTTTTTAAAAGGAAAGTTTCTGCTTACGTCATTCTAACCCTTTCTTTAATGATGAGCTTGGATTTTTGGCTGCTTTTTTTTAACTCCAGAGCATCAATTTTAAGTGTGTTTTTCTGCTTTCTTGGTTTTAAATCATTCACTTGTTGCCTTTTGCTTGTACAGTAGTGGCATTTTTCTGTCAGCTAAGTTAATTTTTAAATAAAATAATTCTAATGCATGAGAATTACGGTTTTCAGTGAGGGGCACTTCTCAGACCATGTTTTTCTTCCTTCTAAAGTTTTTAAATATTGTGGAATAGAAGCGAAGTTCTACTTGCATATAAAACATGGTTGCTTCAGGAATTATTTGCAAGATTTTTTTTTTTTCCTATGAAAACCTTCCTTCTGTCAAATTTAAGACAATAGTTTCATTTTCCTGCTAATAATGTCAAAGTTTTAAGAGTGTAACCCAGGTTTTATTTTTCACTATGTGCAGTGTATGTAGATGATTTTTCAAAACTATGATATATTGCCATTAAATCTAATAGCAGAAATCTATCCCTATAGTTAGATGTCCCAGATTAGGACAGTATGACAATATTTTACTCACTGATTTTCTTCCTTCTCTAAACTGTTTAATGCCTGATACCGAGTAGAAGTTTGCAAAGCTACATTCCCCAATTTCTTTCTAAATAGAATATATTAAATTGGCATTTTACATTCCTTTGAGGTTTTGTAGGTAAATAAGATGCACTTGGAGCTTTTCATGTTTTAGATGACTAATGCATGGGGGAAAATTCTAACTGCTGGACTTGGTTTGCATCCTAGCAAAATATATGCCTGAAGGGAAGCTGCAGCAGCTTGCATATGTTACACAATGTTTTTGGAAATCAGTTGCTTATATTTTATTGGTAGAACCTATTGTCTGTCAGCGCAGGCTGCTGCTGCTTGCTGGCTGCATTAACTTGCTTACAAGTTTGGTGTGAGCAGCCATCTGACCAGCCTGTTGGTCTCACCGCTGTGCTTTTAAAATGCTTTTGTAGTTAATACATGAATGGCTTTGAACTTTCATAGTTAAGGTTAAACCTTCACAGGCTTGGGATTTTTCTGCTGCTGACATGGGGAAGAGTGTCAGTATTGGCCATTAACTCCACAATTTTCTGTCTATAACCATGACAGGCATGCTCAGTTAACCTCTGGGTAAGTGCATGTTGGAAACTTCTTGTGAGTTGTTAAAGCCTCTGTATAGATTTCAAAGATCTTAGTCAAAAAAGTGACAGGTTACTTGAGTCACTATTAAGGGTAGGTTGAATAAAAATCTTGTCTTTTTTTCCAAAACTTGCATTAAAATCTGAATTTTACACCAAAGGCAGAATTTCTAGACTCTCTTGTATATGTGGAACTAATTGTATGATTAAGTACATGCACCAATTTGTTTGGGAAGTTTGAAAGCTAGTAACTATTACTAATAAGCAAGAGTTTCAAATACAGCTTCATTTATGGAGTCCTAATACTACTGTGTACTTGTATATGTGCACATCCATGTATAAGTTTTACCCTTGGAGAGAATAATTTTTTAACTCAGAGTTACTCTCTTACTAGCAAGGCAGTAATAACTTCTACCATTTGGTAAAAATTAGTTTCATAGACACAACTACACTGAAATAAAATTTGAACATTATGTATTGAAGTCATCAAATTTTTCAGTATGTATTGAGAAAAGTTTTTCTGCATTATAGCCATCTTCATGTCACAGAGCCTGTGCTGGAAACAAACATCGATCCTTTTTTATTGTTTCAGACAGACTTTTTTTTCCCCCCCTTTAATGGCAGCTAAACAATATTAGGGATCAAAGTTGCAAAAATTGAATTTATTACAGCATAAGGAACATATAAGGAGGAAAAAATGGAAATTTTTCAAGGTGTAAAGCAATTAGACATCCGTAGTGTTCTGAATTTCAGTAATTATTTTTGGACTTTGGATTTTTAGGCAGAGATGTTCAGAGGGTCCTAATCATTTCTCATTGAAGTCAGTAGATTTCCTTGAGGTTATAAGACAAATCCTTGCCTTGATTTAGTTCCTTTATTTAAATGAAAGAGTCTGTTACTATTAGGCTTAGAAGAGGGATCAGAGTCAATTTACTTTCCCTTTAGACATGAAAAGAGGATTTTATCATGACTGAGAATATATTAATTGTTTTTAAAAGGATGAAGCATGTTCAGCAAGTTTCTTGCCTACCATTAAATAGGGACATATGCAAATGTTGAAACAAGGCAAATTACAGATAGGAATCAGAAAATCTAGATGTGAGAGACAGTGCTTTATGAAGCAATGCAAAAGCATTAATTTGCCATTTAAACAGTGATTTGCACATTTAAAGGGATGTTTTTTAAATTATACAAATAGTTGGGCATTTGAATTAACCAAATTAAACTTGAGGGTTATTAGTTATACAAATACCCAACAGAGCTTGTCACATAATCTATTAAAATCATGTTACATACAAGTGATTTATTTTACATACACAGAGAAGTTTTATAATTTACAGATCTGAAGACAAGAGTTTTATAGTTTTTTACTTAAAAAAACCCACCATGTGCAGTGATAAAATACAGTCTTTAATTAAATTATCAACAGGAATGAGATCTTGTCAGTTTTAGGGCTGATGTGTTGGAGTCATTCCCGTGTATTTAGCACAGGTACTCTGGCTCGTGCCTATGGTGCAGGAGTATTGCAATATCCTGTGGACACATGAAAGTTGAGGCTTTGGGGATGGAGTGGGAAGAGATTCGGTTTCTTCAGCAGTTTTCTTTTGTCCTTAAAGCAATGGCATTTAGCTATGTGAAATCATATATTTTACTTAGCTCATCAAAAGCACAAACTCCATTTATTTCTATTTTTCCCCAAGCACTAAGTTTTTAACAACTGCACAAGAATGAGGGGCTATATGGCTAAAAATTACAAATTTTCTGGGCTTTGTCATTTGAGCATATTTGAGACACTTGCTGTTGTTGAGCCATGCTATGAACTGCAAACTGTGCATGTGTGTAAAAAGGTTAAGACCCTACATAGATGAGTTGGGGGCCATGCTGTTAGCAGACGAGGAGAGCAGTATTATGCAGCAAGTGCACGCCGTCAACTTTGTAGAAGATTCCATCTTCATGGAGTCATCTCTGGGTCCACGTTTACTTGAAGACAGGTAACAGCAGCCAAACTAAGGTGATCTTGCCATTGCCTTTTCCCTTTCTTCCCCTCAGCAAACCACTCAATATCTAGTTTGCAGAGGGTTTGTCAAAACTAGCTGTAGAAGAACTAATGCTTGCAGGAATTCATGAATTTGATCTGTCATAACCCAGCAAGATATTCTTAGATAAGATTAGGAATTTTTAGAGACCAGCTGTGCTTCGTTGTTTGTGCACCAAATAGCCTGTTCTTCAGCATGTGGTATTACAGTACATTGATTATCTATATGGCTTATATTGCTCCTGCAAATGTCTACTAAAGAATATCCTGAACTGGTTTTGTGTATTTTGATAGCAAGTAACAATTCCTGCTTTATTAAACAGCTTGTATGCGATAGCTCTGCAGTTCACACCATATGAACTGTCTTGTGCACCATGTTTGCTTAGGATCTCTGTATGCTCCTTGTATTTAATACTCCTGCAGCTTTCACTGAGTAACCTGTGATGATTAATACAGGCTAAAATACATAGGCTAGTGAAGTTCTGTTGTGAGTTCTACCTTAAACAAAAGCAAATGAACAAAAAACCATCTTTACTATTGTTTAGGAATTCTTGTGCTTTGAATTATGGCATTTATGATAATTTCTTTTAAATGGTAGCTCCTGCTTTATGGTAAGCTGTCATACTTGAGACTACTTTTGAGGATGGCTAGCCATGTTTAACTGAGCATGCTCACAAACTTGTTGCAACATTTGGGAGACTTGGGTCATTGGCTGTCTCTACTGTCATGCAAGATGTGGCTTTTAATGTCATACAGTCACTTCATACCGTTGTTACATCTCGTCTTTTTTTGTTGATGCCATTGTCACGGCTTGTTTCACTAGCACTTTCTCTTAGCTTTCAGCTTGGTATTGGATGACTCTTTCTATTGCTGTTCTTATGACGGTACTGGGAAGACAGGGATTTACAAATGCTCCTTTTGCTTCTAGCTTTTGGAAAAATATTACTTGCTACTTGTCAGTAAACTTTTTTGGGGGAACAAGTGTAAGTAGATATTCAACAGGACTGGACAGTTTTTCATGGAAAAGCAGAAATATGCAAACTCATAACTTAAAAAAAAAGTATTTTGCTGGACAGAGTTGTTCTCACTATGGGTTATTAATTATTTGCTAGCTATTTTTGCTTTCCTTTTCTGAATGCTTGCTGGTACTATCAAAGACAACACATTGCCCTCCCCATATTCATGACTAATGATCTGCTGCATTTCTCGTCAGCTGTGTGAGGACTCTGACTTCAGTGAGATGTACTTAGTGATCAGGGCTGCAGATCAAATCCTGATCTTTTAAGAAAAGTAAAATGACTGTATAAATACTCGTAAGGCTGAATTGTAAGCAACTTGCCTGTGACAAGTGTAGTGATGAATTTCCAAAAGCAGAGTAGTTTAGCACAACTTGTCTGATATTCCTGTCATGGAATTAACCTGGTTTTGTATATGTGTTAAATTCTAGGCATGTGACACAAGCGGACCTCAAGAGCTCTACATTTTGGCTCCGAGCAAGTTTTGGTGCTACCGTCTTTGCAGTTTTGGGTTTTGCTATGTACAAAGCATTATTAAAGCAACGATGATCTGAGAAGAAGCACATCTGGCCCTACCAAATAAAAAAAAAAAAAACTTTTATGTACATTCTGAATGCTTTAAATTCTGCTAGAAATATTTATATATGCAGAGTTACTTTATTAATATTTGTAATTCATGCATAAGATTATTTTAAATTATAGCTCTAGCTACAGTATTGCATAATGTGTGGAAAAAAAGAATTGCATCTTAACAGCCAGCTAAAATGGCTTAATTTGTGAGGCCAAAAGGGAATTTGTTGTAAATAACCTGTACATATTAAAGCAGTAAGACATTGCTTCCCAAATAGCTATTCAAAATACTGTATCTGTTATCACTGTATGGTGACATACTAGTGTATAGTTGAAATTCATTTTCGGTAGAGTAGGCTCAACTGAAGGATCATACTTCCTCAAGGATTGCTTATTTATTTCACATTCATCTGGAGTGACTTTATCTTTTTGGACTATAAGCTATACCAGGCAGAATTTGTGATTTTCATTCTTATCTATCCTTTTTAACTGATGAACAAATTTCCCCACTAACTATGTATTTCAAGAAAAAGTCACTGTTGCTGTCCTGGCCTATAATTTTGTATGTTACATGACCAGTGACAAATTTAGCAGTCTGATATTTCTTTTAGAAGGAAAAACGCAAACTTCAAAAACTGCCAGATCAATTTCATATGCTGTGTGTAACTCATGTTTTTCATTTTCCATTATGTTGTGTTTTATAACCCTTATGAATCAGATGAGCAAATTTGTATATTATAAATGTTTATAATATGAGAAGTGTTGCTGTTTAATTTCTCACATCTGTCAGTCATACCTGTTGAAAGCTGTGTATAAGATAGAACTAAAATAGTACACAGTGCCTATTCTACTGTAGCATATTAGTTGCATGGATCACAGTGCATTCTGTAACTGGCTAGAATTACCTATAGACACAGCTTTTTTAATGATGAAGTAAATCAAACGTTAATTCCTCATGACAGACCTATTTTTCCATTGCTGGCCTTTTCAAGTATTTCAATAAAACAACTGTGTACTGTGTTTGTGTTTCTTTTATTTTTTCCCATCTCCTGCCCTGAAAGGTGGTCCTTATAAAACGTTATCTGAGAGAATAACTGTCAGTGCCCTTAGTTGTTGGAGCTTAAATGTCTTGGCTATGTAGTTTCTTTGATTTGTCTTATGACTGTGCTGCCTCCACTAGAGGTTTATTTCTAATTTTTATCAGAATACAAAAGTGACTTCTGTGATATTTTAAAGTAGGAACACAAATGCATGGTCAACCATGAACTTTGTATTTATTGTCAAGGACAAAATAGAGCGGGAGAAGAAAGTAAATAGTTCAGTGGGTTGTTTGGGAAAGCTAATGCCTGTCTATTACACTGACCTTCTGGAAGTGAGGTGAGAGGAGCTGAATGAGAAAGTTTTAGCAACAGAAGGTTAGAAAACTCCCCATCTGGAAGCTATTACACACAATCTAGAAAATTATTAATTTTCTAAAAGCTTTTGAAGAAAAGAGGACTGATACACACCTCTCCAGAAAAGTATGCTGTTCTATAAAAACTTAGAGTTTTCCCTGGGAAAGGGATCGTTAGAGATTTTCTCTTTAACCTCTTCCCACTAGGTAACTGGAGACCACAGAAAGTACATTCCCCCACATGAACGTTCTCTTAAGACTGAACAAGGTTACCTCTTCTCTCAGCCTCTCTCTTTATTTCCTGTTCCAGCTCTGTACCCATCTCACTGGCCGTCTGCCGGCGGCCTCACACCGGTATGTCCATGTCTGTCTTGTACTGGGAAGCCTGAAACTGGACGTAGTAAGCGCGGCCTCACAAGTGCCAGTTACTGCATGTCATTGTGGATAGTGCTCATGGAAGGCTCCTCGGGGAGTTGAACAGTATTTCCTACTCTATTTGTGTGAGATTTCTTCTGACAACCATGATGCTGAAAATAAATGCATCAGTGTTACATAGAGCTTTTGAACCAAGGACCTGAGCAAGTAAATGTTGCCCTGTCCCTAAACTTTTACAGAACTTCCCAGGAGCTTTTGGAGCCATGCAGGTACAACATACCTGCCTTGGTAGAGGGAGACCAGATTGTGACAGAAAATAAGAAGGAAGACCACTGTGACAGTGTAGCTTAACCTGCAGGGATCTTTGACTGCTCATCTGGGCCTGTTGATCTTTTAACATCCGAACAAGCAGGGAAGACTAGATATTTACATGCCTTGACACTTTTTTGTTTGTTTTCCTGATGGGAAATTCTAACTTAGCAGATCTTAACGTTGTGCCCCGCCAGTGCGCTTTTGAAAGGATATTTCAGGACTTCATTTCTCTCAGATTTATCTCAGACTGTCAATGTATTGATGCTGAAGTGCCTTTTGAGAGACTGATGGCCCTGCAGCGCTGCCTGGTGCATCTCTGAGGTCGTTCTGAGGAGGGTCCGCTATTTTAAACCAGTCAGTGGCTGTTGGCTCCAAAACACTTCTAAATATCTGATACCATGATCTGGATTTACAGTTACGGTTGCCACTCGTCTTCCATAAGTACCCTCACATAGAAATCTCTTCAGTATTATTTTAACGACACAGCTTATCATCTGGGCTGAGTACTAGAGTGTTGTAACCGCTATTCCCATGAGCGGCTTGTGTTTTATTATGCAG